AGACCACAAATGCATGAAAAAACAATGAAAGAGGGTAAGAGAAAAGACCAAAATACACAAAGAAATCGATTTTTCTCTCAAGCAGGCAGCCAATTTCCAGCAAAGAGATAGCCACATTTTCTTCCCTAATGTTTCACACAAATCTCAGCGCTAACGTAAAAGACAACATATACGCAGGGTCAAGTTAAACTTTAGTTGGGATAATAATAGGTTAAATGGGCCAAGATTCAAAGTCTTTCAATATGTAAATATATATGGATCGCGAGCATCATTAATTTTTTAAGCTACTTTCAACAAGCCTTTGGGCATGGTTGTTGATAATAATTTCACTTATCGCCCAATGTCCATGAAATTCAATCCAACGTTTATATCATAGCTTGAAATTTATTGGGTATAATTATCCAATAAATCTTCACCCTGATACCCAATCTACATGAAGCAATCAAAATGTAGGATTAATACTAGCATAATCAAGGCAATAAAATTAAGATCACTGACCTTACCTCGTATTTTAAATCCCAAAACATTTATCATACTTGCACCATGTACTCACCAGTGCTAAGGGAAGCGGATAATAACGATAAACAATTAAGAGCAAATAAACATGTATTGATGATATAACATAAGATAACACACAACATCTTTTCAAAAAATACATTCACATAGAACAACATATTAATACCAGGTTAATCAACAAACAACCAACGCATATGAAACAAATACATAAATGACCCCACGAAAAGATCGCACCACATTTATTATATCTCATTCCGTGTTGCTCACACCTTGTGAACACATATATTCTTTTGTTGCCTATCATGCTCACTAGACTGATTACTCAACTCATGTCTAACTAGTAAATTCACAATAAATCCTAAGTGATAACCCTCTATTACCATATAACTTCTCCCAACCTAATTGGATAACGGGTCTCCATATAATAGAAGTGATAGCAATGCATTTCTCACATTTCATTTGATCAAGGTCTTCATAAATAAAAGATTCCAACATTTAATCACATCTCTACTCGTGATCCAAATGTCACATCTCAAATTCCCAATACATACCACCAATGTACCCATATGCATCTATACACCACATCACCAAAAGACACACAACACAGTTACTGTTAATGCATTCTAACTCACTATACATGTAAACAATTACACAAAGTAATCAAATTTCTCTCAAATTCATGTAAATGCACATATTAGATACATTAAAATATCGTATAACCATACAACAGAATTAAGTAATCACACACATGCAGAAAGGATTATACACAGATGTACATGTAGTAACTAGATTCACTTTTAATAAATCTCACTAGGGTCATCACTTGACTTATCCTGAACCATACAACAGAATTAAGTAATCACACACATGCAGAAAGGATTATACACAAATGTACATATAGTAACTAGATTTACTTTTAATAAATCTCACTAGGGTTATCACTTGACTTATCCCGCCTTTTAGGACAGTTCCTCACAAAATATATAGATTTATCACAGTTGTAACACATTTACAACAGGACTTGTCCCAACCCCTGCCATTCTTCTTACCATCCTCATTACTCGGATCACTACTTGAATCATTATTGTTTTGAGCTCTATCCAAATTTATTTACTTAAATTTCATTCTACTTCTCATCATATGTAATTCACCACTCCTTTTATCCTTTTTTTTTTTGCATTAATCTCCATCTCTTTATTTTTAAGAGAATCAATGACAATATTAGGTGTTATTATGTTCCTACCATACTTAATCGCATTTTTAACCTCCCTATAGAAGTCATGCATAAAATTAAGTAGGATAATGACCTTATAAATTTCAGACACATTTTCATCACAATTAACAATGTCTCAAGCTAATTTATTAAAAATATTCAGATTATCATCAAGATCCTTTGAAAGATATATTTTAAAACTAAAAAAATCTTTCGAGCAGATATAATTTATTAGGAGTAAATTTAAGCAAATAAAAGTTCTTCAATAGAATCAAGTTTTTCAACTTTATCAAAAAAGTTTTAGAAATGTGTAAAATAATTGAAATGTAAGCAAGTTCATCTTATTTTTCTTTTGTGCTTCCATCAAATTTGCAAGAAATTCACTGTCTACAGCTTTTGAAACTTTTTGTTGAATCAAAATCCCTTTTATCTTTTGTTACAAAATTAAAAAAATCCTCATTTTAATTAAAAATTTCAATTTCAAAATGTGAAGACATTATGAAAAACAAAACAACCAAAGTGCACAAATAGGTCGCACAAAGTAATCTTAACTCTTAAGGCCGTAGTATATACCGTTCTAGATTTCGTGATATTCGATACCTCAGTATCAAGAGAATGTTAAAACGGGTCAAGTCCAGGTGTTCTAACAGAATAATGAATGCAACACGAAGATATGTAAACAAAAACTTCAAATTCTCAAACAATTCAATCTCACACATTGACATAGTAATTAAAGCACAAAAGCAATTATCAATTTACAATAAAAATCAACACTTCAAATATGGCAAATAATTCTTAAATTCTAGCATAATCAATGGTTATCCCAATCCTATTATCATCCCATACGATGATTTGCCAATGCTAGAATTTAAATGGGAAAAGTCAATTTATCAGAGCGGATCAATCTGAATCCGTAAATAATGAGAGGTGTGAGTTATACCACTTTAGGTCAACCAGCATTTACTCTAAAGTCCCCAATAATCGTAGAAATCAATTAATCATAATTGAATCCTGAACGCACGAAGGATAAATCCTCCAAATTTCATTGTATAAATTGAAATGGAAAACTAACAATACCAAGATATCATAAATGATGACAGGAACAATATTTTAGAAGATAACTTCGCCAGAAAAAATTGCACACTGTTGGAGTCTCTGCACGTAAGCTTCACGTACCGTCGCACGCACATTGTTCGTTAAAGCGTACGAAATCGTTGTACAAGTAATAAAATTCGTGAGTTAAGAGTATCATTTTCACGAAAAATAATGTCTAATTTGTAGTTCAATTGCTATCTATTAAATTCGAAAGGTGGTGATATCAAAAGAGATGGTTTGTATGTTTTTTATACTAATATTAAATTAAGAAAGCAAATAAAGTATTTGTTTAATACGTGAATGTTTGTATTGAATCGTGAATCATCCTATTGCCATTTAATTAAATTCTTAATTCGTAATAGTAAATTCATGTATTCAAGACAATTTACAATCCATTTTTATTCAATATTCTTTTCCAAGAGATATTAAACATATATTTAATACGACCCAATTTATATCTAATCCGAATTTATGTGAAAAACATGCATTGATTCACAAGATTTATCGCACATGATTGCAGATGCCATATATATTATTCCTAATACCTATTGCCCATGTATTGATTTTGTCGTATTTTAGACTTATTGTGATTATTCCTACATTACAACAAGTAACTTACTTTTTAGTTGGTGATTAAGTAATCACATAGTTTAATGGGAATACAAAACCCATAAAGAAAAGTCAAGAAATACTAAACTAATTGTTTTGAAATAAAATAGACAAGCAATAGGGATCATCATTCATCAAATACAATGAAAAATTTAGACTAACATTCTTGGCTCAAATCTTGAAATTGGGCTATGAATCTTTAAAATCATTGTATGTTTCGCCTTTAATTGATATATAGACTAGTTCGTCATGTCCAAACTATTTAGAATATGATGAAATTTAGTTCAAATGAAGGTTCTTCATGTTCAGGTCGAGTTTTGGTACTTAAAGGATGCCAAAAAGATTGCATTGAATTATTACCAAAACAAAAATAAGAAAAATTGGATTTTTTCTATTTTTGTACTGAGGTGCCTGCTTGGTTGGTTTAGGATGCCTCAGGCGCCCTTTTTTGGTTGAGATGTGCACCTTTCTGTAGGCGAGGGGTGCGCGTCTCATCTAAATTTTGACAGCCAAACAACCTTTAATATTTTTATCATAACTTTTTCTCCCGATATCTAATTGAGGTGTTTCGAAGTGCTTTGGATAGCTAACTCAGAGGGCTACAATTATTCTAAGTATCATTTTTAATTAGAACATTTGTTATGTCAAAATTAGGTTTCAATATGAGGCTACAAATTCGAAGCATAATTTTGGATGAAAGTTGATATATGATAATACTTTGACCATACTTCATCCTTTTTACTTCTTTTCCTCATTCAATTGACCTCTAGCACTCTAAAACTTTATCGTGAGGTTCGACACAACTATCGAATATTTGTACTTTAGTCTCTGAACTTTAAATTTACTTCATTTTAGCACTTTTTTGCCATTTCTTCAAATTCTTTGTCCAAACATAAGTTTTTGCTAATAAAAGCAATAAATTACAATTAAACACTAATCTGTCCAAAGAATAACAAAATATTATTATTTAGGATTCCGAATAAGCGTAGAAACTACACTTATCACATCGTCGAACGTCCTCACGTGCCAGCCACCCCAGTGTGCCTCTACCTGCACACCACGCCGGTGGTCTCCATTTCACCAAACTTCTAGTTTGGTCAAAAATCCGAAAATAGCCTCGATTTTTGGGCAATTTTTTGGACGGTTTTTCGATTTCTTTTATGCTTTGATTTAGCTGAATTTTTTGGTCAATTTTTGTTAGTTTTTTGAGCCAAATCCATTACCTCGAAGCTCAGATATCAATTGTAGCGGAAGTTCACTCCTAGATCTTTGAAATGATGTTTTTCGGGCTCAATTTTATGTTATATTTTTTACCAAACAACCAATCCAAATGACTCCAATTCACAACCAATATATTTACCTAGGTTGCTCCTCAATTTCAACCACAAAAGACAAGATAATGACGTTGATTTGTAGGCCACAAAGACATGGAGAAAACAACAGAAGATGATAAGAGGAAAGACCAAAATACACAAAGAAGCCACAGGTTTTTCTCTCAAGCAGGCAGCTGATTTCCAACAAAAAGGTAGCCACGTTTTTTCCCTAATATATATGGTTAAATTAGGCTTTAATTGGGCAACAATAAGGTTGAATAAATCAGAATTCAAAACCTTTCAATAGATAAATATACAAGTCATGAGTAGCATTAATTTATTAACTTACTTCCAACGATTCACCTTATTCTTGGAACGAGTCATTTGAATGTTGATAACAATTTCATTCATCGGCCAATGAATACCCAACTGTACAAATTAAAAATAGGCTCTCCATGGAAATTTTTGTCATTTTGAAAGAGACGAAAGAACTACATGGGTGTTGCCGTGTTGGTGATTATTTTCTAGTAAATATGAAAAATGCGTTGGGCAAGATAGCCACCCTTTGCAGAAACTGGCGGGAAGGGGAAATGGACCTCCTCAAGCTCTCAAAATTTCAGCTCCAACTCCGTGCCCTAATATCCGAAGTCCATCATCTCAAAGTAAGCACGCATCACTTACTCTCTCACACGCCAATACGCGCCTTGATTTCTCCACATTGTCTCAGGAGAGAGATCAATCCGCCTCCAAACAGCTCCAACTTTTGGTTCAGGTTTGAACTCAAACACATGCATACACACACTTTTCTATTCTATTTGTTGAAATAATGCGGCTTTATACGCGTATAACTAGAAACAAAAGAAAGCAGAGGAAGAAACGAATAAGAAATTGGCAGATTTACAAGCGGAATTAGTGGTGTCTAATGAACTCCAGCAGAAACTCGAAAGAAAGGTAAATTGATAAATGATCGTTAAAAGGTAAATTGATAAATAATTTTTAAATAGAAGAAATTAATTGATTAATTCGTGTTTTTATGTTCTGAAAATACTATTTCTTTGATGCAGGTTAACTGCCTTGAGAGTGAAAATGCATTGCTCGAGAACAGGCAGAAAGAATTGAAGGAAACTATTAATAACCTACTGCAATCGAGGGAAAGTTTTGTCAAAGCATATGAGGTTTGTTCTGTTTGTTTGGCTTTAGCTTGTAAGAACCTAGCTAGAGCCAGTTGTACTTGTTATTCAAAAGTATTGAGATTTTGTTCAATTTATCGACTAAACAGAATAGAGGATTAGTTCTTTTATAAGTTCTAGAGAGAATGCTTCGTTTATAATTTCTAGAGAGAATACCCCGTAACATGATTTTTGGAGTAAATTATTAATATTTATGTATTATGCTCCCCCACAGAATACAACAATTACTTTACTTGTATGTTTCAACTTGCAAGTGATATCTAATGCAAATAACTGATTACATATTGCGCTGGACCGTTAATGCACAGACAAGCTAATTGAATGATTGACACTACTACACAAGTTATTAAGCCAGGATAATTGTATTATATGAAGCAAATTTCTAGAAAGGGGATGAAGAATTCAAAAGTTACAATGATATCCATGGTCGACCAATGGATTCTTTAAGGACAACAACTCCTTGTCGAGTTAATGAAGAAATCATCACCGACACTTTAAGAAATTTCTAGAGAAAGATGTATAGCGCAGCAAGCTTGGAAGAAACTAGAACAAATCAGTTTTATTCTATCACCACCGCCTTACTAGAAGCTGCTGGAATTATCTAAACTTTCCAGCCACTGCCAATATGAAGAATTCTCTAGAAATTAAAGGCAGTAACTCACCGACTTCTCTGCCTACATATATGTCGATGCCTGCTGTGTATACGTGTAAATAGTGTGTGAGCAGAGAGTATGCAAGAGAGCATAGAGAAAGTGATAAGTTATAGTGATTTGAGAGAGTAAGTGAGGGTGTTGTGGTAGAACCTGCCGAAATTGAACAGCCCAGATGAATTATTATTCGCTTAGTTGCTAAGATAAATCACACAGGTATTGGAATTAAAAGGAATTTTATTGAACTGAAACTACAGACTCGATGACTACAAGAAATGAGAGATTAACAAGGCAAGTTTCGAGAGTTGCCTCCTCTCCAATTGACTCAGAATTCCACCCTCTGAAAAACCTATTTCAGCCTTTGCCTCCACTATTTATAGACTCGTAACCACATGACTCAAGAAATCTAACAACCAATATTCCTTCTAACTTCCTTCCATGCTCTTCTTGTGACGTCGTTGATAGGTGACCCGTATGGGAGGCTTATCATGTTGCCAATATAATATTAGAGATGAGTGTAGTGTATAGTGGTGTGTTTGTCCAAATTGTGTAAGTATTTATATTAATAAAATCATTTTTTTTTGGTTGTTTTAATTTCAGCAATTTGGAATTAGAGCTCAACAGATAATTGCTTAGTTTTTGGAATATATATTGATCAGATTCCCCTTAGTTTGTGGAATATAATTCGATTAGAGTCCCCCCTTTTCTTCATTTTAATGCTAATTTTGCCAATCCCCTACATCTTGCAGGCAATGTAGATAAAGACATATTTAAGATGTGAGATTTTCCCTTTTTTATTCATAGTTTGATTCAGGTAGCTTGCTTGAAAAAAAATTAATATTCTTAATCTCTGCAGAACTTATGTACATGTTACAATAACTTTTGAACACGAATGTAATGTGGAGCAGTTGAAAAGGATTTTTAACTTATAAGATTAATTGTGCCTGTCTCTTTGATTTAAAATAGAAACAAAAGTCTTTTGGCAAAATAAGCAGGAGAAGTAGTGGGCTTTATTTGAATTCAATTACGTTCACAATTTTCTTTATTTTGAACAAGAAACTCGAGAAAACATTGTTTGATTATATACCTAAAATGCTTTTTGGGAAGCTATGCTTCCGATTTTGGACAGTTTGATGAGGTATGTAGAAGATATTTTGAAAGTTCCAGAATGTAATTAAATTAAAGTGATTGAAGTAATTATATAATGAACTAGGTAGTAATATGGCTGATTGTTTCCAGATGTAATGCCAGTATATTTTCTTTTTGGTAAGCTGTTTTATGCTTGTCCCAAATTTCTACTTTAGAATGTACTTGCCTATTTTATGGTTATTCTGTTTCTTAATGCTGAACTAAACTGACTACTGGATCAATTTGATCCTGTTGGGATATTTTCTCTTGAAATTTAACCAAGACTTATGTAATGTCAAGAAGTGAAATAATAATACAATTCAGTTTTGATATTGATATACAGGACTCTACATGCGAAATGAAACGAGCTATGGAATCTAGGGATCGAATGATTCTTTTTCTTTCTGAGAAGATAAAGTCTCATTCTTTACTTGTTAATTCAATAGAGAAGGAGGCTTCCTCCATCAAGCAGATTGTAAATGACACAGAGTATATATTGACTGAGAAAGAGGAAGCTGGCAAGTAGTTTTTTAGAACTCAGTTTACCAGACTCAGTTTCTTCAGTATGCAGCAATGTAATCTATTTATCTATTCATTGATTATTGCAGCAGTAAAGTTGAAGAAAAAGTTACACGAGATTGCTACGTTCGAAAAGCTATTCATTGGTAATGTTCTCAGGGCCTGCCAAAACTCTCTCTTAATTGACGATGCATATTTTTTTGGATGCCTAGCTGTACAACATTTTTAAGCGCACCGTTTGAATTTAGTAGTTTCGCATGTAAGACAACTATGTTCCTGTGCTTCTGAATTTGCAATTTGTATCTGTGAAGCATTGAGTTGTATCTGTAAATCCATGATATTTGTATCTTTAGACGTTGGTGATCTGAATTTCTCGAAATGGTTTCCATCCTTTCCCTAGTAGATCTAAATAGATTCTGCATTTTGTTATTTAAATTGGCATGCCAATGTACTATTCAGAAAGAATCAGTGATCTGGAATGCAAAATAAGGAACAATGAGGAAGAGCTCACAAGAAAGGACAAAATCATTTTGTGCCTGGAAGCGCAGTTAAAGATGGCAAAAACTCAGGATGAATTCCAACCTACAGTTGATGAGATATCCTGATGGCATTATTTGTGAAAATAGTTATATATGCTGTAGCACTCTTAATATGGCTTCTTTAGCTTCTAGCCATGAATAATCTTGAGAGTTTTGTCTTAACCGGTCATACCTTCAGAAAGCTCTGTCAACAAAGGAACTGATCATACAGAATCTAGCGTCACAAAAGAAGGTTTTATAAAAAAATAAAAATAAAAATAAAATTCATGTCCTATTTCTTCTTGAAACCTGATATTTCCTTCTGATTTGTTACTCACTGGAATGCTCTATGTTTAGGTATTACATCTTGAAGTGGGAAGCTTAAGTTTTATCATAAAGAAGATTCAAGATGCGGTCACACATATGAATGAAAAGGTTAAACATTTCTCTTGTATTAATGTTTAGGTTCTTGGAAATTTTAGTTCTTAGAAAATTTTGCAATTTAAACTGTATGTCCTCCATAATTTCAACCACTATTTGGTGTACCTATCAACCTCACGACTGCACACTACAAGAAAGGAATTACTCTTTGGACCATACATAGGCATGTTGAAGCACTTGATCCTTTATCTTATTTCATCTGGATGAATTGAACTTATTAATTACTTCCTGCATTATGATGCTGCTAACTGAAGGGAATTGTCACGTGAGAGGTCTCTTTTACCAATGTCAATTAGATAGAAAGAGTAATTGATGGCCAGCAAGTAATTGACGCCAGAATTAGAGATGCTTTGTATAGCTTTGTATATTAGTTGTAATTGATAGAAAATTGCTCAGTTTCCATTCATGTACAGTGATAGCTAACATTCAGCCATGGAATTTGCCTTTTATTCCTATATATACAAAGGAACCCTCACAATGAGGATTATCGAGTCAAAAAGGAGAAATTGAATACCTTGACATGGTATCAGAGCTTCTGGAAGTGTAGGTTGATTTCCAATCACCATCTTCTGCGGTGACGGGAAACTTGTTTGAGAGCCTCACGATCCGGTCGAAATTTGTCGTGAATTTCTGGGCGAAGGATTCCTGGTCGGGACTCTCTGTAGCGACCGACCTTTGCTTGGCTCATCTCTGGTTGGTTGAACTTGCCGGCGTCTTCAGTGGAGACAGGTACGGGGCTTCTGGCTTTCGCATCTGTCGACGGGTTCGGTGGAGGAAAGATCGTCAATCGCGTAATTGAAGGTTTGACAGCAACCCCGGTGTGTTGGGCTACTTAATCCATTGTTTAATTGGGGCCAATTCTATAGAGTTTACTTGGGCTGGGTTTATGATTTTGGGGGGCTTATTCAATTTTGGTTCTTCTGAATTTTATATTGGGATTATTGGGCTTTCTGCTGGACTTTGGTTTTGCTGAATTTATATTGGGTCCTTTTTTTTCGCTAGTATAATTAACTACGTACATCATATCAACCAACATGTCTGAAACTGTCGGTGTGTGCTTCACGGGTAAAAATTATTGTACATGGGAATTTCAATTTCGATTATTTGTTATGGGAAAAGAATTATGGGGTCACATTGATGGAAGTGACCTAGCTCCTACTGAGAATATTCAATTGGGCCAATGGAAAGTGAAAGATGCTAGGGTTATGACATGGATTTTAGGATCTGTTGATCCTATAATTGTCCTAAATCTAAGACCTTATAAGACTGCTAAAGAGATGTGGTAGCATTTAAAAAAGGTCTACAATCAAGACCATACAACCAGACGATTTCAATTGGAGTATGAAATTGCAAATTACACTCAGGCCAATCTCAACATCCAGGATTACTTCTCTGGGTTTCATAGCTTATGGGGTGAATTTGCTGATATTATCTATGCTAAATTACCAGTTGAATCTCTTGCTGCCGTTCAAACTGTACACGAGCAAAGCAAGCGAGACCAGTTTCTAATGAAGTTACGTCCAGAATATGAGGCACTTCGCTTAAATCTAATGAATCGTGAGCTGTCCCCTTCTTTGGATGTCTGTTTTGGGGAGTTACTTCGTGAAGAGCAGCGTCTTACAACACAGGCCACTCTTCAACATCAACATATGACCTCAGATGCTGTCGCTTATGTAGCTCATGGGAAAAACAAAGGGAGGGACATGAGAAAGGTTCAATGCTTCAGTTGCAAGGACTATGGGCATATTGCTACTCACTGTACCAAAAAGTACTGCAATTACTACAAGAAGTTGGGACACTGATAAGAATCTGAATTGATGGAACAAACTCGTTTACCTAAGAAGAGTAAATTCAATGGAAATGAGTGAATTTATTGAATTGAACCTACAATGTGACTCCAACAAACTAGAGCATTCGAGAGGCTGTGTACTCTCCTACCAGACTCCTGATTTTTCTCTGATTGTTACCGTCCCTCCCCTTTACATTTATTGACAATTTCCCTAACTGACTCACTACTCTCCCCCGTAACAAAATAACAGAATAACAAACTGCATGCTTAATTAATTTGGATACTTAGCTGACGTGGCTGCCTCCTTACTCCTTGCGTATTTAAAAATCACCGAGGGTCTATCAATACCCCCCTTCAAAATCCACCTTGTCCTCAAGGTGGAAATCTGGAAATTGCTGGTGGATGTTTTCAACTGACTCCCAGATGGCTTTGTAGTCTGGAGAGTTCTTCCACTTGATCAGAACTTCAGGACCCAAGGCTGAACTTGCTGAATTAGAACGGAATTGTAACACTCTCTCCGGTTCCACTCTGCTCGAAGTCTCCACAGCAAGGGGTTCTGGTAATTTTGAAACAGTCTGAGCATTCCCGATAGCCTTCCTGAGCTGCGACATATGAAAAACTGGGTGGATAGCTGACTCCGGTGGAAGTTTCAATTTGTAAGCAACCTACCCCACTTTGGCCTGAACTTCAAAAGGTCCATAATATCTGGGAGAAAGTTTTGCTGATGATCTCTGAGCCACAGACTTCTGACGGTAAGGATGCAATTTCAGATATACCAAGTCCCCAACTTTCAACTGGAGATCACGGCGATGCCCATCCGCCTCTTGCTTCATTCGTTGTTGGGTGCGCAAAAGTTGCATCTTGAGGTGATGGAGGACTTCATCCCTGCTGACCAAGGATTGTTCTACTGAGGAAACTACAGTCATTCCCTTCTCAAAAGGCATAACCAGCGGAGGATCACAACCATTCACAATCTGAAAGGGATTGTGCTTCGTGGCGGTGTGGAAAGAAGTATTATACCAAAATTTTGTCCACGGTAACCACTGCCCCCATGATCGTGGCTTACTTGAAGCGAAACAACGCAAGTATGTCTCCAAACACCGATTGACGACCTCCGTTTGGCCGTCAGTTTGTGGATGGTAGGCTATACTCTTTTTAAGGACTGTCCCCTGAGCCCGAAAAAGCTCCTCCCAGAACTTACTCATAAAAACTTGGTCCCCGTCTGACACAATAGACTGTGGAATTCCATGCAACTCAACAACTTCTCGTATGAAGACTTTAGCCACTAAAGGTGCCGTGAAGGGATGCTTTAACCCAATGAAGTGCCCATATTTGCTGAGTCGATCGACCACTACTAAAATAGTGTCCCACCCTTCAGACTTGGGCAGCCCTTCGATGAAGTCTAATGAAATGTCACCCCACACTCGCTCTGGAATCGGCAACGGCTGCAAGAGTCCTTGAGGAGATAAGGACATGTAATTATTCTGCTGGCACACATTGCAGCGGCTCACAAATTCCCTGACATCCCTTTTAATCCCCTTCCAATATATTTCTCGAGCTATCCGTTTGTAAGTTTTGAGAAATCCCGAATGACCACCGATTCCCGAGTTGTGATATTCCTGTAGGACCTTCTCAATGAATGGGGATGATTTGGGTAACACTAATCTGCCTTTGTAACACAAAGTCCCATCCACCACCGAATAGCCAGGTTGGTCCCCTCCACCTGATTGTATGTGGGCAATGATTTTGCTTAACTCTTCGTCCCTTGCTACTTCTGCTTTTACCTCATCCACTTCTAACACCCGTGGCCTTGATATTTCCAGAAAACTTACTATGGGTCCCATTCTTGAGAGGGCATCTACAGCTCTATTTTTCATACCGGGCCGATATTGAATTTCAAAGTCAAAGCCAAGGAGTTTAGTCAACCATTTCTGATGTTCTTCACAAACTAAGCGCTGCTCTAGAAGAAATTTCAGACTTCGTTGATCAGTCCTTACTATAAAATGTTTGCCCAGTAAATAGTGCCACCACTTCTGAACGGAAAACACTATGGCCATCAATTCCTGCTCATAAACTGATTTGTGTCTAGCACTCAACGGAAGCACGTGGCTGAAGTAGGCAATGGGATGCTGTCCTTGCATTAAAATAGCCCCCAACCCGTGGCCCGATGCGTCGGTTTCCACCACAAATACTTGGGAGAAGTCGGGTAAGGCAAGAATGGGCACTTCAGTCATTGCTGTCTTCAGTTTGCAGAAGGCATCCTTTACCACCTCACTCCAGTTAAACCCGTCATTTTTCAACAATTCGGTAAGTGGCCAAGTAATCTCCGCATATCCTTTTACAAAACGTCGATAGTAGCCGGTAAGCCCCAAAAATCCACGTAGCTCTCGAAGGTTCCGAGGCGATGGCTAGCTGCACATTGCCTCTATCTTAGACTTATCCGCTGATACTCCTTGTCCCGATATTATATGGCCCAAGTATTCCAATTGAGGCTGTCCAAAAGTGCACTTCTTCCCATTTACATATAGCTTGTGTTGCTGTAAGCATTCCAAAACAATGTCCAGATGCACCCTCAACAAAGCACTGTACACTAAGATGTCATCAAAAAAGACAAGAACAAATTTTCTGAGATAGGGTCAAAATACCTCATTCATCAAACTTTGGAATGTTGCCGGCGCATTTGTCAGCCTAAACGGCATGACAAGGAATTCGTAGTGGCCTTCATGAGTACGGAAAGCCGTCTTTGGCACATCATCCGATTTCATTCTTATCTGATGGTACCCCGATTTAAGATCCAGCTTTGAAAAGATGGCTGCCCCATGAAGTTCTTCCAGCAATTCATCGGTCACTCGTATAGGAAATCTATCTAGGACGGCGACCTTGTTCAACGCTCGGTAGTCTACACAAAAAGGCCAGCTCCAATCTTTCTTTTTTACCAACAAAATTAGGCTAGAGAATGGGCTGCAACTTGGTTGGATTATCCAAGCCTCCAGCATGTTTCGCACAAATTTCTCGATTTCATTCTTCTGGAAATTCGGATAACGATATGGCCTAACGTTAACCGGGACTACCCCTGCCTGGAACACAATCCCATGCTCATGGGATCGTGATGGGGGAAGCTCATTAGGCCACTCAAAGACTTGGTGATGTCGCCGCAATACTTTAGTAAGCTCGTCAGGGCCCTTGCTCACTTTCTCCTCGTTTT